ATTTAAAGAGAAATGCAAGCGCGCTCTCCGGCTAACAGCGTTCCAATTTGGGACAGTTCGAATTAGAACAGTTCGATTTTTTCCTTGTTCTGTTTTGATACTTGTTCTAGAAAGACACTGTTCTGATTTGAATCAGTTCGACTTTAGGTCTGTTCGATTTTGAAAACGTTCGAATTCGTCGTACCCCTTCGGTCGCACAGCGAAAAAACAAATTGATGCATGCGCCTTTAAATACCGTACCTCGGACGTTTTTTTTATTTTGGGCCCTATTTGGCTGTTTTTTTTCTATTTTATGAGAAAAATAAATTAAAGATTGATAAGAATTACACAAAATTAGACAGAAACAAGCGAAAAAATTCGATAAATATTGAGGTACTGTATTAAAGGCGCGTGCAATAATTTGAAAAATACAGTAAGGTTCTCTCTGTGGGAGCTAAGCTCCGCCCACCGTTGTTTTCTCGGCCGCAACGTGCATTGATTTCGGACAAGAGTAATAGTATTGATGTTTTTTGAATATTCATAAATTTTTATATAAATCCAAAAATTCAAAGCAGTCTAAGAAATTTAAATTTCGAGATATTTTCTTCGATTTAGACAACAAATGAAAAAAAATTAATTGAAAAAAAACTTTTTTTTGGAATTTTTTGAATTCCAAAATTTTCAAAAACTCACCCAATCCCAAATACCAATCTAAATTTGGGATTTCTCTTTCCTGTCCGGCTGGTGCAGCTGCTGCCATTCTTTGAAGTGTTCCTGAAATAAAAAAAAAATAATTTTCTTATTAAGACATTTTCTTGTTAAAAATTTTCTTACTAATAAATGTTCTTATTAAGAAAGCATTTTCTCCAAAACTTCAATTAAAATTTAAAAGAACATTTTCGTATAAACAAAAATGTGTTTTTTCTTATTAACACAATTTCTTATTAATAAAAACCAAAATTTCAAAATTAAGACTAGAAAATAAGACATTTTTTTTGCACAAACCCAAAATGCAATGTTCTCACCAAGACGAATAGAAATAGAGAGTGAGAGTGAGAGAAAGAATTTTCTGTCATTTTCTCTGCCCTCTTCTCTTTTCCCCTTATCTCTCACCAGCAAGGCCTCGAGTAGTGGACGTTTGTTCGATAGGAAGAGAGAGAGAGAGAGAGAGAGAGAGAGAGAGAGAGAGAGAGAGAGAGAGAGAGAGAGAGAGAGAGAGAGAGGGGGGGAAGAAGAAGAAGAAGAAGAAGAAGAAGAAGAAGAAGAAGAAGAAGAAGAAGAAGAAGAAGAGGAAGACGACGAGAAGGAGCATAAGGAACACTCGTAAACAAAACTTAATTAAAATAAAACGGATAAAAAGTTCAAACAGCTCTAACTCCTTCATTTTTGGTCCGATAAAAATAATAACGAAATTTTTGAAATTGGTTTGAAAAGAGCTTTAAAATGATTACCCACAAGACTATATTCGAAAAAAAAATTTTGGTCCTTAAATTGCTTAATTTGAATAAAAACATTATTTGTTCTTTAGGACAACATTAAATTAATTAATAGGGTCAAGGTCTGCCAAATGAGTGGTGGTGTGTAAAAAAGTGGTAGTAAAAACACCGTAACTTCTTAAATATTGTCCTGACATTAAAGTTAATTATTAAAATATTGTTTGGCTTGTTAAGAGCTTTAAAATAAGTACCAACAAGCCTAAGTTTGAAAAAATTAGTTTTCTGGGTCCCACCACGAAAATGTGCTAAAATCGAAATTAGCCAAATATTGAGTTGTGGCGGCTCATTTTAAAGCTCTCAAACTACTAAACCTGAATATGATAGTTTGTTAGCCATCAGGACAAAACGAAACAACCTAAAAAGAGAAAACCTCTTTCGATTATTTCAAAAAATGCGAAAAAAAATTTTTTAAAAATTTTTTCAAATTTCCTGTTTATTGAAAAATTTAAAATTTTTATAGTTGTTTTTTGAATATCTACAAACCACGATTTTGAAAAAATTTTCCCCCAAAAAAATTTTTAACATCAAAAATCAATTTTTTATGATTTCAGCAGCATCTACCGAATTTTTTATAGTATCGGATTTTTTTTGTTTCAAAATTTCTATAAAAACCCTTTCAGAAAGCCAAAAAGTTCAGTTTCAAAATGTTAAAAACCATAACATGTTTGTTTTTTCTGGGATTTTTCAAAAATTCCATAGCACAACAAGTTTTGGACTGTAATCGATTGGTAATATGGTTTCTTCTAAGTTAATTAGATTAATTAAATCATAATTAACTATAGGTTGGAAATTTCGTTGGCCAAAAAATCGCATTTGCTCGACCCATGGAGATAGGCGATGTTATTACATGGAATGGTACCGTATTCAGTCAACCATCAACGTGAGTTTTGAGAGCTACAGTAACCTGGAAAAACGAAAGCTTTGATATTTTTGGATTCGGCTTGTTGAGAGCTTCAAAATGAGTACCCACAAGGCCAGGTTCAAAAACTTTTTTTTTTGTCCCACCCCGAAAATGGGCCAAAAATCAAATTTTGCCAAATATGAGCTTGTGGGGGCTCATTTCAAAGCTCTCAACCTATCGAATTCAGGAAACATGTTTATATTGATCTCTAGGAAAAAGGTGGACCACGTTTTCAGAATTGGCGCAAATTTGGCCACCGCATCAGAAATCCCACTTCATATCAGACAAGACATGCCACAACAACACACAATTTTTAATAATAATAATGGGGGATGGGGCAGAGAGCTTTTTGGACCACCACTTCTTCAGTTGGGTCAGCCTTTTCAGATCTCTGTGAAGTTAGTTTTTTTTTTGGATTTTTTTGAAATGATTTCACATTTCCCCTTTCAGACTTGACTATCTTGCGTTCCGAATTTTTTCTAACAACGTTGAAGTTTATCAATTTCCCATAAGAACTGCGAATTGGAATGCTATAACTTATTGGGGAATGTTAGATAACTATTCGCAGACAAATTGGCTGGAAATGAACTGTATACGGTCACCGACCACGACTAGGGCACCAAGGACAAGAAGGCCAGGGCATGGGCATGGTGGTGGACACGGTGGAGGACATGGAAATGGTGGAGGATACGGCGGTGGAAGATTCTCGAGCTCTGAGAGCTCGGAAAGTTGTGAATATTAATTTTGCACCATTCTTTTTGTTCAAATAAACCTTTGTTTGTACATTTTGTCATTTATTTTCGTCCTGAAAATAAATTCATGTTCAGATTCAGCAGATTCAGAGCTTTGAAGTGAACCCCCACAAGCCTATATTTGCCTGATTTCGATTTTTGGCACATTTTCGTGGTGAATAACTCTCGTTTTGAAGCTCTTGGCAAGATAAACAATAGTTCAAAAGTTATTTTCAGTGCCATCTGAATGTTTAAGAAGTTACGGTATTTTTTAGAAGTTTTTTAAATGGGGTCCCACCACGAAAATGTGCCAAAAATCGAAATTAGCCAAATTTAAGCTTGTGGGGCTCATTTTGCAGCTCTCAACATGCTTAATTTAAATATGATAGTTTATCCGCCATCAGGACAAAACGAAACAACCTAAACATCAAAAACCAAATTTTTTACAATGATTTCCAGAATATAAAATTTCAGCAGCATCCCCGCAAAACTTTTATGGGTTTCGATTTTTTAATATTTCTCTTCCGCAAAATTTTTATAAAACCCTCTCAAAGAATCTGGTTTCTTATTTTCAAAATGTTAAAAACCACAATTTTTCTAATTTTTTTTCTGGGAATTTTCCAAAATTCGGCGTCCCAAATTTTGGATTGTAATCGATTGGTGAGATGCACTTTTAATTATTTAATTGACCTAATCGAATTATAATTAAATGTAGTTTGGAAATTTCGTTGGTCCAAATATCTCATTTTCTCGACCCATGGAGATAGGCGATGTTCTTACATGGAATGGTACCGTATCCAGTCAACCATCATCGTGAGTTTTGAAAGCTACAGTAACCCGAAATGTTTTTGATATTTTTGAATTTAGCTTGTCAAGAGCCTTAAAATGAGTACCCACAAGGTTCAAAAAAAAACTTTTTTCGCACATAGGGTCCCATGTGCCAAAAATCGAATTAAGCAGGATATAGGCTTGTGGGGGCTCATTTTAAAGATCCTTAGTTGCTAATTCTAATAGTGAATGTTTTCTGACGTTTAGGACAAAGATAAACAGATTAAAAGGGTCAAGATCTTTAAAATGAGCTCCCCACCAGTAGGTTTGAGGGGGTAAAAGTACCGTAACTCTTCAAATATCGATCTGACACTGAAATCACCTACTGCATTATTGTTTGGCTTGGTAAGAGCTTTAAAATGAGTACCCACAAGGCCAGGTTAAAAAATTTTTTTTGGGGGGTCCCAACACGAAAATGTGCCAAAAATCAAAATTAGCCAAATATAGGCTTGTGGGGGCTCATTTTAAAGCTCTCAACCTAACATATCCAGTAGAGACAATCAAGTTAAATTCCAAATGAGGCGAAAAAAGATATGGACCAATTTTTTTTCAGACTTCGCGTCAGTTTTATCTCACCAACACAAATCCCAATTCATATCAGACAAGACATGCCAAATCAACATACAATTTTCAATAATGCTGCTGGTGCTCTCTGGGGCATAGAGGTATTTGGACCACCACTTTATCAGTTGGGTCAGCCTTTTCAGATTTCTATGAAGTGAGTTAAAAACATTTTTTTTTGGATTTTTTTTGGATTTTTAAAGGCCACACCTCAAATTTTTTTTGTTCAGACTTGACAATTCTGTGTTCCGAATTTTTTCTAACGACATTGAAGTTTATCAATTTCCCATAAGAAACGGAGCAACTTGGAATGCTATGTATGCTGTGGAACTCCAAAACTTGAGCTTGAACTCTTGGCAGACAAATTGGCTGGAAATGAACTGTATACGGTCACCGACCAAGACTAAAGCACCAAGGACAAGGTGATGGGCATAATGGTGGATATGGGCATGGTGGAGGGTACGGTGGTGGAAGATTCTCGAGCTCAGACAGCTCGGAGAGCTGCGAATATTGATTTTGCACTATTTTTTATTTAAGTCAAAATAAACCGTTTATTTTTGCCGTGTAAAACAAATGACATGTATATTAATGTTTAGCAATTTGAGAGCTTCAAAATAAGCCCCCACAAGCCTACATTCGGCGAATTTCGATTTTAGTCACATTTTATGTGGGGGGGACCCGAAAAAAACTTTTTTTCAGAAAAAATGGGCTTGTGGTGCTCATTTTGAAGCTCGTAATTTGTTAAATCTAAATGTGTACAAATTTTTAGTTTCTAGGAAAGAAATTAAGAAATTTGAAGATTCAAACACGTTTGACAAATTCCGTAGAAGGTAAAAGTACCGTAACTTCTTAAATATTGATCTGGCACTGAAAATGCTTCTTGAAATATTGTTTGGCTTGTTGAAAGCTTCGAAATAAGTACCCACAAGCCTATATTCCAAAAAAAAATTTTTTGGTCCCACCACGAAAATGTGCCAAAATTCGAAATCAGCCAAACATAGGTTTCTGTGAGCTTATTTTAAAGTTCTCAATTCGTGGAAATTAGATATAGTAGTTTTATAGCTTTTCTGCAAAAAAGAAACAAGATAAAAGGGATCAAGATACTCAAAATAAGTGATGACGGTGGTGGTAAAGTTACCGTCACTTCTTAAATATTGACCTGAGACTGAAGGTTTGCATTAAAGCATTGCTTGGCTTGTTGAGAGCTTCAAAATGAGTACCCACAAGCCTAAGAAATATCTAGAAACCTCAGAAAATCCGGAAGTTCCAAGATTTCAAAGAATTTAAAAATTCCAGAAAACTTGAAAAAGTCGCATTTCTGAAATTTTTTTTTGAAAATTTAGAAAGTTCTAAAGTTTCACAAATTCTAAAAATACAAAAAATCGAAGACTTTGAGTTAAAAAACAATCTGGAAAGTTCCAGAAAAAAATGCAGAATTGGAAAACTCTAGAAATTCAGTTTTGAGAAAATTCAGAATTTGGAAATTTCAAGTTTTTTCAAAAATCTGGAGATTTCTAGAAAACAAAACATTCAAATTTGACAGCATGAAATACTTTATTTTTTACGAAAAAATTTTTTGAGCGAAATTTAAGTAATATAAATTAATAATTTTAAAAAATTGAAAATTAGACTTCAAAGACAAAGTACAGTAGCCAAAACTACAGTCAGCAGCGAAGCAGCAGCCACAGAGCTTGTTGGTGGTTTCACGTAGGCATCAGATGGTCCATTAGTTGGAATAACAACTTGCCCAGGAGGGGTTACTGTAGTTGGTTGCTCACCATCCGGGCGGACCGTTGGCAGTTCTACAGTTGGGAATGGAGAGTACTGTGGAGGACAAACACCATCAATTTCTCTGGATTCAACGATTCCGAATCTGACGGCGTCGGTGCAGGAAATTCGTGTTGGGATTTGACCGAAATAACGGGACAGAAGTTGGAAATTGATTTGAATTTGTCGTTGAATTTGGGAATTCGATTGGGAAGATGAAGAGCAGGATTTGGAGCAGCACTGAAATTCGGATAATTTAGAACTATGATGCTCCTAGTTGGAAGCTCAAAATTAGGAGCCCTTCTATTACAGGTTTTACAATATATTACCCCTTTCTGAGATCCTCCAAATGCTCCACAAGAAACAATTGCTTGGATGGTACGCAAGTCGATGTAGCAGCACTTCCTGAAAGTTTCAGGTTTACAGTTAAAATTTTCAGCCAAAAAAACGCACCCATTGGGTCCTGGTGGTACTTCCCCGCCTTGTGGAGTAGTGGTTGTAATTGGTTGAGCAGTTGTTGGCCATTCTGGAACAGGGTACCCTGGGATTACTGTAGTTTGAGTTGGAGGAGGAGCAGTTGGGTATCCAGATGGTGTTGGTGACGTGGCATATCCATTGGTTGGAATTGTTGGATAGGTGGCAGGAGGAGGAGGAACTGAGGAGCAAATTAGAGATGGAAAAAACATAGAGAACTGAGGAGAAAACGGAAATTTTGGGGAAATTTGAAAAAAGAAAATTAAAGGGACAGACTTACGGGTTGTTGGTAGGGTTGGTTGGGTTGGTTGGGTTGGTGGAGCAGTGTAGATGCTGAAAATTTAAAGCATTTCCCAGAAAAAAAAACCTATTTTTTTAAACATGCGGAAAGATTCAAAAAATCCATATTTAACAATTTTGGGCTACTTGGAAAATTTATCAGAAAACGACCATTTTTGCCCTAGGTGGTGTTTTTGACCTAGATGGTGTTTTTTGGCCTAAGGTTTTTTTTGGACTTGGTGTTGTTTTTGACCTAGGTGGTATTTTTTGAACTAGGTGGAGTTTTTTGACCTAGGCGGTGGCTTTTTTTGACCTAGGTGGTGTTTTTTGACCTAGGTGGAGTTTTGACCTAGGGAGTTTTTTTTTGACTTAGAGGGTGTTTTTGGCCTAGGGGTGTGTTTTTTGACCTAGGGGGTTAAACACCTATGTGGTGTTTTTTGACCTAGGGAGTTTTTTTTTGACTTAGAGGGTGTTTTTGGCCAAGGGGTGTTTTTTAACTAGATGGTGTTTTTTGACCTAGGTGGGAGGGGGGGACCCTGGTCAAAAATGTCAATTTGAAGGTCCGGGGTTTTCTGATTACGGTACTTCCAGCGGGCTTTGAGTGCCCCGAAGGAGTCAAAATCACTAGGTTACTGTGTAAATTGATCATAATGGCCTGCCACTGCCTAGGCCTTGGCCCTGGTGACCTAATACAGTACCTTCTAATAAAAAGGTCCCTATTAACTCACCATGGCGGTCTAGGAGTAGTAGTGGATGTAGTTGTTGTAGTTGGTGTCTCTGTAGTAGTTGTTGGGACACATGGGGGCGGAGGTGGGACAGTTGTTGGTGGTGGAGCGGTGGCGTATTGTCTGGAAAATCTTTTTTTGAAAAAAATTCTGAAGTTTTGATTTTAGAAGCTTTTTGAGCCAAATTTGGTCCGGTTTCAGCGTGTTTAAGCTCATTTTGAAGCTCTTTGGCTTGACGAATTCCAAAATATTATTCTGACGTTTCTAGCTAGAAAATTGGCTGAGTTACAAGTTGGAACTTACAACCCGACCCCTCGAAATTTCCGAGTTTTCAAATAAACCCATGTCTATACTCATTTTGAATCCCAAAATATAAGTTACTCAAAAATTGATGTTAGATAGCTCGAAATGGGTCAAAATGATATAAGCTACAGTAGTAGGCAGACATCTTTTATTATTTTTCATTACAGATTTGGATTTCTCGTAAAATTTGGCTTTAACTGCAAAAAACTAGAAGTTTCTAGCGTTTTGTTTTTGAGAATTTTTACCAATTTTTGGATTACTGTAGCCCCAAAAGTACGCAAACACCGAATATCGGTTTTTGGGCTGAAAATTCGAAACTAGACTAAATTAAGGGTTCTAAAAACGAATTTGACATTGATAAACTGTGAAAATGACTTTGAAGGGCTGAAAACTGTCAAAGAAACCTACTCTGGTTGGTTTGGTGTAGTAGACCCGCCATTAACATTGTTATCTCTTCTATCAGTAAGATTCTCAATTTCATAAGTGACATTTTTTCCAATACAACACAGCCGGCAAACGTTGCAATTCTGAAAATATTGGGATTTTTTTTCGAAAATCTCCAATGTCAAAATTACCGTAATCAACAATTTGCCATTTGGTCCCAATCTCAAAATTTGTCCACCAGTTTGTCCATTATTTCCAGTGACATATCCAGAAATTCTAGAATTTCCGCCTTTGGGGGCTGGATCTGGATTTCCAGAGTTCGAATTTCCAGAGTTTAAATTCACAGAATTCGAATTCACAGAATTTGAATTTTGGTTATTATTTCCATTTCCAGAGCCATCTAGATCATTAACGGCATATCCATATCCATAGGAATTTACATATTGGGGAGAAATGAATGATGCCAATGAGCAGCCAATCAGGAATATGGTTGGATGGAGCAACATTGACTTTTTTGGGAGTAGGCGGAGCTTAGTGAAGTGGGCGGGGCTTATCGATGTGTGCGGAGCTGGTCCTAGTCAAGTACGAGATTCGAGGAATCTGAAAAAAGTTGAAATTGAATAATTGAATGCAGTTGTAATTCAGGGAAATGTGAAAAATCCAAGATTTTCGGAACCTTCTAGAAATTTGAAGATATAGAAAATTCCGGAATTCCAAAAATCGGAAAAAAAATTCAGAAATTCAGAAATTCAGAAATTCAGAAATTCAGAAATTCAGAAATTCAGAAATTCAGAAATTCAGAAATTCAGAAATTCAGAAGTTCAGAAATTCAGAAATTCAGAAATTCAGAAGTTCAGAAATTCAGAAACTCAGACATTCAGAAAATCAAAAATTTAGAAATTCAGAAATTCAGAAATTCAGAAATTCAGAAATTCAGAAATTCAGAAATTCAGAAATTCAGAAATTCAGAAGTTCAGAAATTCAGAAATTCAGAAATTCAGAAATTCAGAAATTCAGAAATTCAGAAATTCAGAAATTCAGAAATTCAGAAATTCAGAAATTCCAAAATTCAGAAATTCAGAAATTCAGAAATTCAGAAATTCAGAAATTCAGAAATTCAGAATATCAGAAATTCAGAAATTCAGAAGTTCAGAAATTCAGAAATTCAGAAATTCAGAAGTTCAGAAATTCAGAAATTCAGAAATTCAGAAGTTCAGAAATTCAGAAATTCAGAAATTCAGAAATTCAGAAATTCAGAAATTCAGAAATTCAGAAATTCAGAAATTCAGAAATTCAGAAATTCAGAAATTCAGAAATTCAGAAATTCAGAAATTCAGAAATTCAGAAATTCAGAAATTCAGAAATTCAGAAATTCAGAAATTCAGAATTCCA